TCTCTAGTAACAGGAAATGCTCCTTGCGTGGAAAGAAGCCTCCCAGGCATTTCCAGACGTGAATTACACTTCTGTCTGAGCTAGAGTAACTGAGATCCTGTTTGAATTCCCATAAATCTTTTGTCCTTTCTGCAGAGCCATCCTGGCCATAGGATGGCTTGGGGCAGCTGGTCCAGGCCCCGGGCTTTGGGGGGCCCACAAGACCCAGGGCGGCCTGGTGCAAGCAGGAGGGGTCGGGTCTGTTCTGAACTAGGCAATGGCAGTGGGAGCCATGGGAAGTGGAGTGACCCAGCCCCAGCCTGTTTAGCTCCACTGGGAGCCAGGACTGGGGGAGTGCAGCAGGCTGGGGCAAGATGGCTCCACTTGCGGCCACTGTGGTGAATGCGGGAGGATCTGACCCTTGCTGCTGCCCCTGTGCTTCCCGGCAATCTCCCGCCCACTGCTCGGGAGGCGAAGCAGGGATAGACGAGCCCTCCCCGTTGCCCAGTGAAGTCTAGTCAGCCTGGCCTGCTTGGAGCTCCGGCTGCTGCTGTGGTCGAGGTAGCGGGGCCCTATGCCCTTTGAAACTGTTGGGTCCAGGGTAGCTGCCCCATGAGCCGTCCCCTGTGGGCAGCTTTATTTCAGCGATGAGCTCTCCAGCCCTGATGCAGTATGCATGGCACATGGCCGTTCTCGTCCAGCAGATGTCCGAGGTGAGCCTCCTGTGCTGACAGACGGGGCTGACAGCCTTGGCGTGACTGTTGGCCCAGGGCTCCTGGCTGCCCCAGCCCCACCCCTGCCAGGATTACAGAGCTGCCCCTCTCCTGGCCACCATTGCCCCTGTAGGAGTGGTGGCAGCTGAGACCCTTGGGCCCTTTTGAATCGCCGGGCTCTGGGGCAGGCGCCCCCCCCCCCCCCCCCCCACTCTGCTGTTGGAAAGCCTGACAAGGCAATTCTTCCTTTGATTTTACTTACAAAATTCACCACGATGTACAGAGAACCTTTCCCCCGGGTGCACAACAAGGCACTTAATTCCCCTGAATTACAGCTGCCTTCAAATTGACCTGTTCTGTACTTTTGTTAGGGGGTTCTGCCATTCTTTAGTCATAACCCTCCCTGCTCTTGAGTAAATATTTGTATGTCCCAGTCTGAACCTCTTACTGCAGTGACTAAATGAAAGCACATTGATACCTTTATCATTCGTCTTTGCCTTTAGTCTTTAAACAAACCACAGACCGTGGGTATAATTTTACCATCAGTGAATTAACAGCGTGTATTAGAGATGTTTAAAAAGTGAGCTTTCTGTTTCGTGAGACCACACTGTATTTTTACATGTTAAAATACTTGGGATCTGAGTCTCGTTTATACTATGGCCCCTTTGCACCATTTTGGAAGTCTAAAGGGGATTTAAATGTAATTTCCTCCCATTTTCCAGCTGCTCTTTGCTGTCAGTATGGTGTCAACAAGCCTTTGTGTAAATGAGAGTAAGGCCCATGTCCTCTCTGTGCATGTGGATGAGTATTATCAAGTGATATATAGAGCAAAAATGGTTCTATAGTTCTGGACTACATTGTGATTCCTTTGTCAAAGGAATAAAGCATTGAGGCTTGATTTTTTTAAAGGTATTTAAGCACTTACCTCCCATTGTTTGAGGTTCCAAAATTAGGTTTTACTGACCTTTATTTTTATAGGAACCTACAGGGAGAAGTTAGTTTAAAAGGCTGAATAAAAAACTTTTTATATTTTTCAGGCACTTAGGGAAATATTTTTCATGGCATGATTTGGCTCTTTTCTGTTCCACAAATGTTGCGATTCTCACCCATGGTTCTTATGGGCTCCAAACCACACGTCTAATCAATAAGTGGTCTTCCATGTAGGAACTACTTCAATAGGTAGATCCGATCTCCTTCACAAGTCTCCCAAGTATTCTCTGATTAATTGCATTGGTTACTTCTTGCTGTTCTCTCCAGGGTTGGTTGTAGTGGATCAATGTTTCCGTTCTTATGGGTGGTCTGCATTGCCTATAGGCGTTCCTTCAGGAGGCCAGATTTTCATGTAGCATAAATTGGCATATTTACACTAAAGTCATCCATTCACTCCAACTGAGAATCTGTGTGGATAAGGCTTTGGATGTCAGTCCCTAACTTCTCCAATCTCATTATAAGCAAAAAATCCAACAAGACACTGAGCTAGAGCTTTCACCCTGCTTCCATTTGGGGAATTAATTCCAAGCCTTTGCATCTTTTAATATATTTAACCTAAAAGCGAAGTCAGCTGTTTCCTTCGCAAATGACAACAGTTCAAGGCAGCAGTGTAGTGCCAATAACTATTCCCCAGCAATGGACTCAACACAATATTGCACAACGGGCTGGGGAAACTTTGAGAACTCTGTCCTGTTTCCAGAAGCAAGGTGTGTGTATAACGGGCTCCATTGCTCACCAGAGAGGTACACACACATGTAGATATGCAGAGGAAGTACTTGTTAACTGACAGCACTCGAGCTGTTCATTAGTGAAGTCACCAATTTCTGCATTTTATCAACTACACCCATTCCACTCATGGTGATGAGAGGGCAGTTCCAGCAGAGGTCACCATTGCTTAGTTTAGATGACTTGAAAGATCCTGGCTCCTTTGCTTTTGTAGGGCAGAGATTCTAATGCTTCACGGGGGGAGCCAAGTTACTCTGTAACAGGACAAACTTAAAAACAACCAATAGTCCAGTAGCACCTTAAAGACTAGCCAGACATGCAGATGGGATCATGAGCTTTCGTGAGCACAGCCCTCTTCTTCAGATGACCGGAGTGTTGGAAGCTTCTAAGAGAGTCTAATGACAGGCAAAAATCTAATTCCATCATAGACTCTAGAGCTGGAAGAGCCCTCAGGAGGTCATTGAGTCCAAAGCAGGACCCATACTGGACAGATTTATTGGTGGTGAGATTTAATTTCAGTCTTTATTACAGATTGCCTACAGTACTTGTACCTAAAGATGGTCCTCAAATAACTAGAAAACTGCCTTAAAATTAGAAGTATATAATTACCCAGTACATGTAACAGTAGCCATTATCCTTTAAACTGGAAGAGGTGGTCAGAATGCAAAAAATGTTCAATATGTTTCAATTGGATTGTTATTTTTTTAAATTTCTTTAACTAAACTCATATTCAGAGTAAAAGGGAGTGTCTTGCACAGGACCAAAGCAAGTGGAGTCATATGTGACCATTTGGGATCTAATTAGCAGTTAATACACTGCTGCAAGCTCCACTTTGCAAAGTTTCAGCTCCTACATGTGGCCTAGCTATTCTCTTCTATTTGCTCTTTAAAGGAAGGGCAGTTAGTTTAACACTGACCTACACAAATATTCAATTTTTCTAAGCCCAAATTTTGATGCAGATTTTAAAGCAAGAGGTTGATTATTCTAATGTATTAGCGTTGCAACTGTTTTTATTTAGTACCTGTGATAATAAGCCGCCATGCCTTTTGTGTAACTTTTAACTGAAATTTCAAGATCATATCTGACAAGAAATGCTTAAATTTTGGGTGAAGAAATTAACATTGCCTAGCTAACATGCAGAGAAAGTAATGAGCCATATAGTCATCGCTACTTCCTATGCAACTACATTGTGAAACATCTCTTTAGAGTGAGTTGTCCTTATTTCTCAAGTTGAATAACTACTACTTCATTGCACATACTCAACAGAAAAGTTACTTTCTTGCTGTAAGATCTCTTCAAATCATGCTGAAATTTGTTGTGGAATGACTCATACATTGGAGGGCCAAATCCTGCTTCTCTTACTCATATGAACAGTCCACTTTATTTGGCCGTTGGTCCTATTGATACAGTCCTCTTAAGAAAGTGCCTACTCCACCACAACCTGGCATGTTTGACATACATGAAATAATAGTTGACAGAATTATTTTAAGATTAACTTATCTCTGTAGTGTAGGCCACAGCTCAGAACCCTAACCAATGTGCATTTAGGCAGGACTGTGTTAACTCACCACATTTTATTTTAGCTTATATCAAAAAGTGCTTGAGACTTTACTGTGCTACACTTCAAGGCATGAAAACACCCATAAATTATTTTCATAACGGTTACAGCTCAACCTCTAAGTTGTGGCAACTTGGAAAAACCAGCCCGACGAGCAGGTTTGCTATTTTTTCCCCCTAAAACTTCGGGAGAGGATAATGAGAATTTAAAGTGAAGGAAGTAACCCCTAAAGCACACATGAACTTTATCAAGTTACATTTTCTTCTGAGCTCCCAAATACGCTCCCTTTTCCTGATTGGGGTTTGCATCTATCTCCCCGACTCCTGTCTTTCCTAGATAAAACAAATCAATAAATGCTGTCAGCTTCATCCTGTGACAATAGGCAGCTAGCAAGGAGTTTGTGAGTTTTTCCATACGAACCTAGAAAATGTGTGTGTCTGGTGAACTGCTGCTTCTGCCTGTGACGGTTAGCCTTGAATCAATTCTGCTTAGCCTTGCATCAGAATTCGGTTCTGACAAGGAATATTTTCTGAAGTAAGGTAGGATTATTTTAGGAAAAATGTGGTTAATGTTAAATGAGCCTCGTTCCCTAAAAGCAGCAGGGTAATAGCGATTTCTCAGATTAACTGAGCTACCCAGTAACATAAAATGAATCTGATTTTACCTGAGTGAAAAAAGATGAGAACCCTTGTATCTCTCTAAGATTGGGCTACTTTGTAAGGATGTTTCACAGGTTTGAACTCGGTCACAAATGCTTAGAGTTACAGACAAGCATGAAGTTAACCCTGCATTAGGTCCATTCTCAGCCTAAACACAACAGGCAAACTATGGGGGAAAAATCTCAGGCATTTTGCACTAATGTTACTAGCCCCAGCCAGTACAACCCTTCTTTCAGATACATCTGGCTTCCCCCCAGCCAGAAGGATGAGGATCAGAGTACAGCAAAACCACGTATGCTACATTGAAAAATTCCAAACTTCTTCCACAACCACAGTGATCGCTTAGGAAAGCCCTTTGATCAGCTTGTCACTCACCTCCACGCTGTGCCCTCAGTCCCACTAGGAGATGGAATCCTAAGGGGTGCCCAAGCTGTTCTGTAGCCTGTAGTATCCTAGTTTGTGGACACTTCCAAATCAGATGAGCCATTCACACACACACTCTGCTTCTCCAGCCTCATTCACTGCCCTGAGGGTTGAGAGCTGCATTGACTCATGAGACTCAAGCTCCCCCTGGGTCCTAGTGCCCAAAAATCGGAGCCCTCGATTGAAGAAATCAGCCTTTGGCTCAGAGTAGGGCTGTCTGTGTGTGTACTCCACTACGTGATGAACCGTTACATCTGGGTTATCAGTTAATCCTGCCAGCTCCATACACCCCCCCCCCCCCGATCAGACTGCAAGGGAGTATGGGGGGGAGGCAGAAGCCACCTGCTCCCTGCCCCGTGCTGCTGCCTCTGCACGAGGGAGGGGGGACAAGGAAGGCTGCCGCCAAGCAGCCTCTGTCTGCAGGGAGCCCCGGCTTGTCATGAGGACAAGCTCCGTGGGATGCTGGCACAGTCTCTGTCTGCAGGGAGCTCAGACTCCTGCAGACAGGGGCTGCTGCCGCGGACCAGTCTCTCTCCGCAGGGAGCTTGGACCCTTCCCCTCCTCTCACACACCCCCACACATGCAGGGGCTGCTGCCTCTGTATCAGAGGCTGGGGACTGTTGCTAAGTTTTGATGCAGTTACATCAAAATGACATGACTATTCAACTGATTGATACCTACCAGCCCTAGCACAGAGCCTGAATCCAAGCAGAGGTGTGCACGTGCAGGGAAAGTTTCAGAATATGTACGCTGGCTGTTTGCAAGGTGGGGTCTCCCCACTGCCTAGATCCAATGCTTCCGTGCTACAGAGACTTCACAGTATTTGTTAGCTTCTGGTTTGCATACTTCCTCATGCAATATACATTGATCTTAGTCTAAAAGAAACTGCATGTGTGTAGAGGGACCGCCTAGCTCCCTGTGTCAGTGAAAGAGAAGGTATGGCTACACTATGGAGACTATACTGGCACAACTACACAACGTAGCTTTGCAGTGAACACCCAGCCTACACTGTCAGAAAGTGTCTTTTCTGAAAACCTCCTCCTCAAATAGAGTTAGTTAACTTGACAGAACATACTTTGGTCAGCTTACTTGTATCTGCTCTGGGAATGTTAGCATAGCTACCTCAGCCCAGGGTCTCACACCCTTGCCATGCTGATACAGTTCAGTGTAGGCCAAACCAGAGCCAGGCTAGTTTTCAAGGCAATACTATTTTCTTCTTTGAGTGATGTCTCCATGGGTGCTCCAATGTAGGTGCTGGGTTTGCCCCGGTGCCGCAGAACAGAGATTTATTTGGTCGGACCGTGCATGCACGGTGGCGTCGTGGCATTTGAGCTCTTTTGTGCGGTTGCGTGGTCTGGCTTCCGCCAGTTCCTCTCAACCGCCTCAAGCTGCAGATGGAGTGAACTGGTCTCTTCAACTTCTCTCCTTTACTGCTTCATTCGTGAGATTATTTTGTAGCAGTTACAGTTTGTTTGTGTTATAAGTTCCTTCCTTCATATTTCATAGTTCTTCTTTAAGTGATGTCCCCGTGGGTGCTCCACATTAGGTGCTGAGCTTGCCCTGGTGCCGCAGGGCGATTGGTTTGCTGTTCTCGACCTTAAAGATGCCTATTTCCACGTGATGGTTCACCCCACTCACAGAAAATTTCTACGTTTCATAATTGGCGCAGACCACTTCCAAAATTGAGTACTACCCTTTGGTCTTGCCACAGCGCCAAGGGTCTTCACAAAGACATTCGCAGTCATTGCTGCCCATCTTCAACACATGGGAATCGTTATATATCCTTACCTGGACGATTGTCTAATAAAAGGATGTTCATCAACGGAAACTTCAGACATGGTACGGATGACTATTGAGACTTTACTTGTCCTAGGTCTCCTTGATACCTACTCAGAATCTAGAGTTTATAGGTGCGTGTCTCGACTCAGTCACAGCAAGGGCATATCTACCCCTTATCAAGTTTCGGGCATTGCAAGACCTATTGGACCAGCTTGTATACAGATGTGCAGTAGAAGTCGTAATGGTACTCAAATTAATGGGTCATATGGCTTCCATAACATACGTCATTCCCCATGCCAGGCTGCACATTCAGCCATTACAACACTGGCTGATCACAATATACAATCCCATAAGGCACAACATACGCAAGTGGGTAACCGTCCCGTCCACGGTCAGGTCTTCCCTCCTCTGGTGGACAGTCGATGACAGTTTACTTTCGGGCACTCCGTTTCATCACCTACTACCTCGCTGTCACATGACCACAGGTGCCTCCCTCATCAGCTGGGGTGCTCACATGGGCAATCTTTCCGTATAAAGTCGTTGGTCACCACAGGAATCTCTGTTACACATGAATCTCCTCGAGCTGAGGGCCGTTGCCAACGCCTGCAGATACTTCTGTACGCATCTCTGCAACTCCACAGTGGGCGTCCTCACAGACAACATAGCGACCATGTATTATATAAATCGTCAGAAAGATAGAAAATATGGCAAAACACCGCCTTGGCTTAATCACAAGATCTTGCATGATCTAAAAATAAAAAAGGAGTCCTATAAAAAATGGAAGGTAGGACATATTACAAAAGAATGAATATAGGCGAACAGCACAGGAAGGCAGGGGCAAGATTAGAAAGGCGAAGGAGCAAAATGAGCTCAAACTAGCTACGGGAATAAAGGGAAACACGAAGACTTTTCATAAATACATTAGAAGCAAGAGTAGGCCCACTGCTCAGTGAGGAGGGAAAAACAGTAACGGGAAACTTGGAAATGGCAGAGATGCTTAATGACTTCTTTGTTTCGATCTTCACCGAGAAGTCTGAAGGAATGCCTTACATAGTGAATGCTAGTGGGAAGGGGGTAGGTTTAGAACAGTGGTCCCCAACCTTTTGAGGTTGTCGGGCACCAGGGGGCGTGGCTGTTTGCCCGCCGGGCGCCAGGGGGCGGGGACACTTGCGCGCCCGGGGGCGGGGCCCTGCCG